ATTGAAATATTTGTTAGAATGTCAATTAAAACAGCTGAGAGTGCCCTAGGAGATTCGCTGAAACCTGCAATTAGCTGCTTTTCCAATCATTCAATGACTGGCTATATCGACTAAGCTCGGCGTATACTCTGTGGTATCTGTTACGCCTCCTTCTGCGCGGTACTCACATTTGCAAAAAGCCATTTTGAGCAGGTTTCCCATTGTCAATAGCAAGTAAATGACTGCTGAATACTCATAAACAGCCACATCAATTCATCGACTGGCCTCAGCCATTACAAGCATCCTATTTCCCCCGTTGCTTACAGGGTATTCAAATTATGCACCAGCAGCATATTTCAGCCTTCAGCCAAATTATACACATATATTTTTTTTTGTGCGCAATTTTGATAGCAATACGATGGTAAATTCATAAATTCGATTAACTTAAGCCAGCAGCAGCGCATTCAATTGTTGTTAAGGGCCTGCAAAGCCAACTTCACAAATGAAATTTAAAAATAAATACAAATAAAACATAAAAAAGAAAGGAAACGAAACGAAAAAAAATATATATATGTATATACATGCCGCATAATCGAAATGTATTTTGGGTTTTTATTGCGTCTGCGAAGTCAAGGTAGCACTTGAATAGCCGAGGGTGTGCGGGTTGCGAGGGAATTGTGGCAGGGGCGGTGGTGGCAATAACAGCATTTTAACGCCTTATGGTCCATTTAGGTAAAAGTGCCATTTGGGCTGTGGGCTTAACAAGAAATTATGACCTCTGGGCGGCCCAGCCACAAGACTCGAACCAAAAAGAAAGTATATAAAAAAGTAGCCAAAAAAAAAAAGCACAAGATATTTAGGATTAAAGATATCGAGCGAAGGCAAAAAAAAGTGGAACTGTAAAGATTAAAGATATCAATATCAATCAATAAACAGCTTGAGTTTGTTGTTTGTAAAAAAAAAAACAAAAAACAAAAGTTGAAACATCGAATCATTTCAACAGGCATTGCGGTCATTTGTATGATAAATATAATATGGCATACATTTCATATATTTGTACAAAAAAAAAATTAATTTGCATTTTCTCCACTTTATAATAAAAAATTAAATAAAATAAAATAAAATAATAATGAAAGTAAAATAAATAAAAGTCTCTAACTCTTTTTTTCTGAGATTCACGCATTCAAACATACGAGCTCGTCAGCCTGAAAAAGAATAAAAGATATCACAAGGAATTGAAAATTCATTATAAATTATCAGAAATAACCACCTGTAATTGACTTCTATCGAAAACAATTGCATTTGTATTAGTAATGCAAACATAAGTAAAGAAATTAATATCAATACAAGTGTTTTTTCTAGCCATCTTAGTAGCCATCGATTTTAACACATTTCTTGAAATTATTTTTTAAAAAAATTTTTTAAAACTTATTGAAATTGTAAATTTTAAAAATTTAATCATGACCTATCGAGACCCAAAACTATTTGTGGTTTTCATGACTATTGTGATCTTTGATTTTTTGTTTCTTCAGGCTATTGAGGCTGTCAAAATTGATAAACCGAAGTCGGAGAGGAATAAGTGATACAGACCGACGGTAAACAATTTTTCAATTCAATTTTTATAATAAAAGTTACGCTATAACTTATCTTTAACTTTTATTATTAAAATTGAAAATAAGAGTTATGATTTGATTTTAATATAAAAATTGATTTATAATAATTACAAATAATTTTTTTTTAATTACTCAAAAATAATTCTTATTTTTTACTATTTTGCTTTTTTTGTTATAATAGTTACGGTCCCTGGTAAAAATGTTTGACGATAAAGATGATTGAACTGAACAAACCGTAAGAGTATTGCAATCAATGGAGATCAAGTCAAGTTTGCTGAGAAGAAAGCCAAAAAGGTCTTAAATGTAATGAGTACTCTTAAAGGTTTAGACCAATATTCTGGACAGCTTTAATCTTTGTAAGCCTAAGCATATCAAATCAATGCGCAACAAATGTCATGGAGTTAATACGAAAATTGTAATAAAGCCGATCAAGAATATATATCTACAGATATAAATATATATATTTATTTAGATAGCAATTTGGATAAATTGTGGCTATCCTTTAAATACTGATTCAATTTGCCATTTCATTTTCATCCATTGTCCAGATTGGAGTGTATCGCTTCAATGGCCTCCATTGGAGCCTGGGGCTGGCCACCTTTACGGCCGCTTAATATGAATGATGCGCCCAACTTATGGCGGGGTGCAAGTGCTCCAATTGAGCGAACTGTTGAGCTGAAATCTGTGCCTGATAGCTTTCAGGGCCCCACGAAATTTCGAGTGGCAAGCATCCATCCGCCACAGCCCCTCGCCCCATAAGCCCGAAACGTTCGAACTACTTTCGTGGCGTTACATTTCAATGAAATTTCCATAAGGAAACCATTTAAGAGCTGCCGAAATACGGAACGAAGGAAATCTGTGAAAAACCGCAATGTCAGTGATGTTGCCCTCCGCCCGTGGCCCAATGCCTCAATGCCCCACCCACGCCTGATTGTTGTGTGAGGCAAAACTGATGCTAGTAGTTAACGGTACTTTGTATGCAAAGTGCAAAAAACGGAAGTAAAGCGCCGAATAGTAGAAGCAACTAGCCCAAGCCCAACGTGTCGAAGCACAGTCGGGCAAAGCGATGTCGAGGGCGTGGGCGAGGGCAGATGAGTGCCGGCCACAAAGCGCTCAGCAGCTTGTGTTTGATTATTTTCTCCTTTTTTTTTACGCCGGAGCGGCTGCTCCTAGCTACTTTCGGGTGCACTTTATTTTGCAGATTGTTAGCGTTTATATCCGAAGCAGAAAAGGAGCAGCACCAGCACCAGCAACAGCAACAGCGGCAGCAGCAGCCGCCACGCTGACAGCTGACTGAAATGTCGAAAGTAAGTTCAAATCGCTTGGGTTCAGACTCCATCCGCTTGGAAGTGCTCGACGTGTCTATGTATGTATCTACGTATCTATCGTGTGATTAAGAACGCTGCCTTGTATTTAAGTGTTGGCCCTAAGCTCTTTGTTGCTCTTTATGCTCCATTGAACGGCGATTGGCTGGTGTCGTGCGTTCAGTGGTTCAGTGGGTGCTGCTGCGATAAGTAGGAGTGGCTGTGGTGCGAGTGCCAGCGGCCAACTGCCATGGATTGGATACTTGAGCATACCATTACCGCAGATGCGGCAGCTTTGGGCACGGCTTTAGATACAATTTATCGATAGGCACTTAGTTTGCCCACACAACCGGCTGTACTCTATGCACAAATCCTAAAATATTGAAACGTTTTTAAGCAATTTACTTTAAAACTTAAAGCAAATAAAAATTATTTAAAATTAAAAAATAAAAAATATAATATAACCACGCAAGTTTTTATTTTAATATTTTTT